TTCCTTCACGCTATTCAAAATATTTAAAACACCACGAAGCAGCTTGTTATAGGCTTAGTTATGGACATGTAAATAATTTTGTAGTTCGAATTTATATAGTATTTTAATGTGTGGTATCAATGGACAGCTGCGGTAATTCATATAATGTTAATTTTATTTCTAGGTGTTCACAATGTATTATTTATTGATTTACTCATGGAATTAATTAACAATGATGCGATTAATGATTACCTAATAAAGACTCAAGTTTAAAATCAAAATTCAAAAACATATTTTGTGTCTAATATCAAAATACAAATGTTATTAAATATAATGTGTTCATTAATATTATATTCTTTTGTAATCACAAACTAGCGTTTAGCAGAAATTATTAATTACGAACATAACTGATATGTGATGATTATGTTTTGCTTCTATGATTAGAATGATTAGATTGCCATACAATGTATCATTTAAATATTTGGAATTTAATATAAATATAGAAATTTACATCTATATAACGGACATCTATTTCGGCATCAAAGAATTACATCACATGTGTTGGAAACTATGAAATGATTAATTAATCATTTAAATTTTTAACTTAGATCAACCAAAAAAATACCCACATAGAATTCGGTTATCAAGTAAGGTTAATATGGATATTCTGTTAAAAAGATAGAAATTCCGATTTATAAGTTGTCACAACGCTTTGCTGGTATAAGTTTTTACTGATATATTATTATAATTTTTCACTTGCTTCAAAATTGGGGAAAATTTTAAGGTAGACATATACCTAAGCTAAAAACAGAATTCGCCTAAATATTGAGAGCTTACATTTTAACTAATTGGCCGCATACATACTTTTTTTTTATCACGTTATATATGGCCATTAAAATAACAATAAAAATGGTAAATGTGCCACATAATAACACTGTTAAGTAATAACGTTTCTCCATATAAAGATAAAACAGTAAGTGCAGTAGGTAATAGTATATATTATATTATACGATCGTATAACATTACATCACATCATGTATATTGTATTTTATATCGTATCCGTACAATTTGTAACACTCAAGTAGTTAAGTCGAAAAAAGCACGCACGCACAAATGAAAACGACCGATTTCAATTCTTTGTGAGTTAACGTGACGGCAGATTTAACGGTCCCGTTCCTTAGACGAACAAAAAAGTGTATTATTTTTCCTCTAAAAAAAAAAAAATAATAATAATAATAAAAATAATAATAATAACAAAACAAAAAAAAAATACCCGCACAGTATCGCATCACCAGTGTGTATACGACGGGGTCGCCGGCGCATTTTTCAATTGAAATCAATTAAGTTTAATTAAAGCCAATAAAAATTCTCCGGTTCGTTCCCTGTGGGATGTCTGCATCTCAACACCAACACATAATACTGTCACATGGTTCTTTTCCTTTCCATTTTTTATTTTTAAATATTTTTCCATCAATGTCATGTACCTATACATAATGGTTACACATGAATATCATAAGTATATACGCTTCATACCATATATTATATTTAGGTTGTAACGCACCGATATTTGACGTCATCAAATATAAACACTCGAAATAATAATGTACTAAATTCAATGGTTATTCTAGATTACGATTATTTTAATTTTTACAGCACTTGAACTTCTATCAATGATTGTCTACTATATTATTCGACATAATCTGGTGAATATGATTTTTTTTTTTTGCATAATTCGAAAGATGAATAGATTTAATTTATAAAAAATATAACATTTTACCGATGACTGGAATTTTTTAAATTTACGTCTTATCAGAAAAATGTGAACCGTTAGGCACAGTGCCGTGCTGACTTTCATTGGTGCCCTTGGGCAATCATTTTTGGCTCCCCTATTAAACATACCCACATATTTAAATATTTGCCATCCTTTAAAATGTTACAAATTTGGAGCTCTAGGGCACTTGTCCCATTTACCACTTCTCTGGTTAGACAGAATAGCAGTATAGTTAGTATAGTTTATTATCATTTAACCTTAGATGTTTATTTATTAAGTATTTAAACTAATTAAACTTTATTCCACGCATATATATATAATATATATATATATATCATTAAATTGAGAACTTGAAAAAACCAAATGTATGTATTATTTTATTAAACTTTTCAATTCATCGTCAAACCACGTACACATTTGTTTACTTTATTATTTAGTATTTAAAATTATTATTACTATTGGTACATCCTAAATATATTTTTATTGTAGGTAGACAGGTACCTATATAAAATAATGTAACATTGTGTTTGCACAAGTTCGTATGATCATTTATTATATTATACTATTATGAATTAAATCATTTGTTGATAATAATTCGATAAAATTTACCCATTATACATTACAATTTATAATATAAGTATGCTATTGTACTACTCTTGCCTATTTATAGTATAACGATTTTAAGGGGTTCATTAGGCAATCTAAATACATCTGAATGGTGAAAATTGAATAATAATTTCAAGATTAATATTATAATGTTTTTGACGTTTACAGTTTCAAGTAAATATCACAATATGTATTGTATTGTTATTGAAGCGTTTTGTTCAATAAAAAAAATAAACAAATAAATAACAATAATTATCATACTTTAACAAATACTTACTAAACTATAGAATCCTAGATAAACGTAAAAATGAATATTATAGTACCTTCAAAATAAACTTTAAGATTATTATTACATTAGCGTGCTGCTTTAATATTTAGAGAATTTCAAAAATCTTATTGTAAACCAATTTTTATGTATAACTATATAAAATAAAATACAAAACAAAAATTAAATTTATTGCATGTTTTCATATCTTAGTATTTACTATTTAGTGATCTCAGTGGAAAATGCGTGTACTAATAAATAAATAATAAACTGTTATGTGTGAAATAACTTGCAAAATGTACACATTTAAATCTTATTAATTTTAAAGACGTATTCGATAAATTATACTTTGGCCAATGACACTAAAACGAATAATCAATTGTTGATAATTATAGGTTAATTCTGCCCATGGTTAAAACTGTTAGCTCCATCAATGGATAGATTTTTCCCAACCAGCTGATACATAAATACTTAATACATATTATATAATAACGTCTAAGTATGTCAATATTCGCCGTTAAACGTCAAAATCGGTGTTTGATCGGAACGAAGTAACTAATGTAATAATTTGATTAGCCATTATTAGCCATTTTTGGATGAACTGCGTCGATTAAAATTGTTTTGGCTTACCTACATAATTAGTATGTGATTATTGATGTGTTACAATGTTTTTATACTTCAATTTATTATGACGAATAAAAAAATAAATAATATCATGATAAACGTTTATAATAATTTGATGTTTCTTCAAAAAAAAAGAAAATCTATATTGTTAAATGATAATGATAATAGATTACATTTTTAATATAGATGTATATATTATAATCAATATTCATATATATATTTAAATCTTCGTAAACATAATATACACACAATGGGATTTAAGAAAAAAAACTAATATGAAAATATAAAATGTATATATATATATATGTGTGTGTGTCTAAATAATATGTATATTGGATATACATAGATTAAAACATGGGATATATAATATACATACATACATATATATATATATATCAACTATTACAAATGTACAATTCATTAGGAATAAATAATTTTCAATAATTTTACAAAACAGATACGAACAAAAAAAAAAACTTACAAAAATACTGAGTTGGTATACATGAAAATGACATACATTTGGCCTACATGTACAATAACATTAATAATTATTGTTCGAAATAAAACCGCATGTATATATAAAAAATATTCCTCTAAAGTTATATATTATAAAATAAAATAATGGAATGTTACTATTTTAAATATAATGAGAAAATATATAAAGATAATTCATTTTATAAATCACAGTCAAAATTATTGCAGGAATGACGTATATAAGTATTTATTAATAAATTGAGATACATAATATAATATATGAATATAAAAGTTTAAATTTGTTATACAAAGAAAATATATGTATACATTTTCAGTTGAAAAGTGTAAATTTAAAACGATGTTCATATTTTTAATACTGTAACCACGTAGTAGTTAATATTGTCATGTATTAGAACATTTTACTATTTACTATAATGTCATGATTATTATTGTGTATGGCACAAGAAATAGAAATTATTATAAAATTTAAATTGTTCCTATTGCTATTTGGCAAGTATTCAAATAATATAAATGAAAAACTTCATCGTCATCGTATGGAATTAAAAATAAAAATAATATTACTTTAGTACAAATATTACTACGGATTTTAAATGATAATATTAATAATAATAATAATAATTATAATTATAATAATAAAAATAAAAAATAAAAAAAAAACATTTTGGCTATCTAAATTATACTTACGTTTCTAATTTGTTTAATTCAATTTAAGTATTAAGGGCCTAAAATCTTAAAAAAATTAAGTAACACGAATAAATTACCTAGTTTTATTTTAAACTTTATTTTGCTTTCGTACATACATAATATATTATTAATATGATATCTTAATAATTAAAGTCCGGTGTCAAGGTAATCTTTAGGAACACCTACAACACGCATATTAAAACGAATACAACATAAAAACTAAACATTTTTATAACAACAAAATAATAATAATAATAATAATAATAAAAATAATATAATATATATATTTTATAATACACAAAAACGTGACTAAATAATATTACATCAATATCGTTTCGCAACATTATTATAGCTGCAATGTGTTCATTTCTATCACAGGCCTCAGGACGGAATAGTACACGAGAATTATATTACCTATATAAATATAGATTAAATATTTATAAGGCTACCTAAGTATTGATGTATTCGTAATATGCTATATATAATATATTTATATTTGTGTGTTATAATTATTCGTTTAAAAAAATGTAAATCTTATTGTAACGTAGAAAAATATTATATCATGTACACAGCGTATATAAACTTAAAAATTATAAAAAAAAAAAGTTACATGTAAAAAAAAAACAATACTTTTGAATATTTTGATTCGTAAAGCGATTATTATTACATTAATATTCTTTAATGAGGTTAACTTATTAATCATCACATTAGAAACGATTTCTCCGGGTGGAGAAAAAGATTGGCCGAGTCGTCGTAATAAAGCACGCGTGTGTATAGTGTGTAGTGTGTACACACACACGATAATCGCCTTTATATACGTATAATAAAAATAATAATAGAACTATTATTATTTTTACTATTATTTATATTATTAATACGATAATAATAACAATAATAATTTTATTTTGTGTGCAGTGCGCACGAAACGGATGTAGTTTCAACAACGCGGATGAGGAATGCGTCCTGTTTTTTTCGTTCGTTTTGGACGCGTTTCCGGGCTGCCTTAGGAAATATAGGTCAGAGGTCAATGGTGGTGGTTTTGGTGGTGGTTTTGGACGTTGGTATTGGTATGATTGGTGGTAAATGGTGGTGGCGTCGATGGTAAGTGTTGTGGTGGCGATGGTGACGACGGTGACTCGGTGGTGACAGTCGGCGGCAGTCCGGGCTATCTAGACGTGGACCTCCTGCCGCCGCCGCCGCCGCTGCCGCCTTTGACGGATTGCGTGACGGACGACAGCGATTGCGCCGGTTTGGCGGGCGTGGTGTGAGTGTGCTGGTGTTTGGCGAGGTGAGCCTTTTGCCGGAAGCTCTTGCCGCACACGGTGCACATGAATGGCTTTTCGCCGGTATGGGTGCGTATGTGAACGTTCACCGAGTACTTGTCCTTGAAGCCTTTGCTGCATATATGACAGTGGTGTAGCGACCGTTCTTTCTTGGCGGGTGGTTGCCCAGATGGCTGGTCGTCACCCGACGCCGAAGCCGGTCCACCGCCTCCACCCACACCGCCGCCGGAACCGGCGATCGAAGTTCCGGTGCCGCCGGCGGCCGACTGTTTCGTTTTGCCGTTGGCGTGGTGTGAACGACGGTTGTACTTCTTGGCCGGTCGAACGGGCGGTGACGACGACGACGTAGACACCTGTTCCAGTTCCCGGTGGTCCAGCACCACCGTGGACGGGATTTGCGATATGTTCGCCACCTGCGTCACACAAACAAAATTATTATTTACTGTCATCGTTAAAAAATAGGTAATAATAACATTGGTCATGATAATGACTATCGGAATTTAAGGCACAAGAAACAACCATGAGATATATACAAGCACCACATTATGCATCGAAAGTTAAATTAAAATAAATTTCCAATTATTATGTTTATGGCAGTACAAAATATACTAAAATTCAAAAATGCATATCACGAAAAAAAATAAACAGATAGCAAATAATACGAGTAGATAGTCACATAAAATAATAATTTGATGAAATAGTTTATGCAAAATAAACTTTTGATATTAAAATATTATAATATATTAGTGTTAATGCCGAATCCATCAGTTTTTCACCGAATATCTAGAAAAACATTAAAAATTACAGTTATATACATGTAATCATAGAACTTATATGATATTACATTATTACATATGCAATTTATATCAATTAACATCAATGTATTATATCTAAATAATGCAAATAGATCTATGATATATAGAATAAGCTTTCTTATTTCGAATGCTTATGTTTTGAATTAAAGTTGTATCTCAATGGTTTTGATTTCGGGATGAAATTCATAAAAATGTGCCACCATAAAATTCAAAACTCGGGTGGTAGCAATAATTAACAGCGTTCATATAGTATGTAAATGACCCGCTAAAAGAGCGTGCATGGGGCGTGGGCGATCCTGCGAGGTATGAGTATAATTTATTTGCGGCTATAATAATATAAGAGCTATCAAATTCCTGAGAAATCGGCAGACAGTAATGATATCATTATTTACAATTCGCATTACAAACAGTATACACCAATGAATTAAAGCGCTAAATCTTAGATTCACATTTGAGTGGCGTTAACGTCCTATATGTCATCACTCTTCTCGAGTGTATCGCCGATTATTTGTATAATATATTATATTTAGTTATAACCTACTATTGTACATAGATCACAATACTTATAGAGTATTGTTTTCATGTGACGCTTAAGTTTTACTTTTAATTTCAATTTATTTATTGTATTTTAGTATTTTATCTCTTTCTGTTTGGAAAAGAAAACTTGAAAAATGATATTGGCATAAATAAATATTGTACACTTATTTTAATTCTCGATAAAGAAATTTTCTTTCGGTTAATAATAGCTATTTTCGACCAATTGTGGCATTTGATTAAAATCAACATAATCTTCGAGCCATAATTTTACGAATAATTATAATATGGCATTAGCGTACAGCGATTAAATCTCCATAAGGCGGCTCTATATAGGTAAGTAGTGTTACTGTTGCATGTACACGAGCATATGCTATATTTTAAAACCAGCTCACCGCAGGATCATTTATGATTTCGCAAAACGTTTAATGCCAACTGGTTTAAAACAATATTATGTCAGTTCTACGCACGGTATAAAAACACTGTGCCTCGTACCTAACTATTATATATTAATATAATAATTATTACGTAATAAATATGATTGATATTTGTTTAGTATATATAGATGATGGGGATCGACGGCTTCTACAGTGCAAAATTATTCGATTAACGCAGGGGTTAAAGATCTTGCAAATAAACTGGATTCAAGTATAATATTCGCGCAAATATAATTTTATAGCTTTTTTTTTACTTAATCAATGTTAACAGATCGTTTGGAATACGAAAAGACGTTTGGAAAGTAGTTTATACATTTTGAAAATGCATACAAATGATTAATTTATTTATTTAAAAAAAAACCATCGGTATAAGAAAGTACCAATAATGTGTATAGTGATAGAAATCTGCAGCCGAAAGGATGACTTAGTCGTCCGTGTGGTGTTAAACGCTCGTAAAAAAAATGTCTACAATAAAAAAAACGTCTGTCTGCCATTTGGTAATATTCGATTCTGGCGACGAGCCCAAAGTCGTCGGCGACATCCATATGCGTGCATATTATGTTACAGTTATGATTGTTGCGTGGACGAGCGGATATTATCGTATGGGGTGGAGAAAAAATTCAAAATATTTACCTCGGCGGCGATGAAGGACACGAACCCCTGACTAGTGGGGCAGTACTGCTGGAACGACTGAGACATGTCGCTGTCCAGGCCATCGATGTATTGGAAGTCAAAGTCTGGCAAGAGGAGATCATCGACGTTCTGCGCGGAGGCCCCGTCGCCGGCCACCAGCAGCGACATCGACGGCATGTCGTCGTCGATCATGACGATCGTGTTGCCATTGATGCCGTTGCTGCAGGTGCTGGTAGTCGCCAGCACGTCTTGCATGTCCACGGTGGACGTCGACGGGTAAGACGTGACATCTTGCATCGACTGCGGTCCCGGCGACGAGTTTTGGCTGTCCGATGCGGTCGACACCGATGGCTTGACGTCCTTGTCGCCGTACCTGAAGCACACGGATCGCAGAGCATTGTTAAGTAACCGTTTCTAAAGGCGTACGTACACGTGACTACACGATTTATTACATAACGAAAGACAACCCCAAAACTTCTTATCAAGACTAAACCGAATGATGTTTAAATTCGATTTACCGCCAACGCTGGCATAACGTCATATGCAACTAAAATATACTATCGTTGGTATTGTGTCTACATGATAAACACTTTAAGTCTCCAACATTGTTTTACGAGTTGTTAAGTAAGTCATAACTTGGAAATGTGTTTTACGAATGGAAATAGTATATATATATATATATATATATATATAGTATACAGTTTAAATTAAACATTTTTAAGTTGATTTTTATTTGAACATTTTATCCATTTATTGTAAATTAAAGTTTTTGAAAATGTTTTCATATTTTACACGAATTTAATGGATTCAAATTTTAAATATATATTTTCGTGATCAGACGACAAAAAATATGGAATCTTTTGATTTTTTGCAACAATCGTTAACACATTTTAGGATAAGCTTAGTAAAAATCAACAGGCGAACCAGATACAGTTGTGTTGACTCATATCCGAACGGTTCAAAAAAACTTTAATGCGTTATACTTGGTTATGAATTTATGAATGCAGATTTAACGTATTTTTTGAGCATTTAATCACTTTTTAGTGTTTCGTTGCCTTAACTTAATAACATGCATATATCTAATACATATACATGACATCGGTATATGACATTATCTTTTCCGACTTAGCTAAACAATTCCTAAATATGTATTATATTATTAATCACGTGGTTTTACCTCTGGTGGTGGTTATGATTGGTTTTGCCCAGCAACGCGTTCCGGAGAAGCTCATCGCCCGTATACTCGGCGGATTCCTGTTTGATGTACTCTTGCAGCGGTTCCTGTTTGATGTACTCCGTCAACGGTTCCTGCTTGATGTACTCCCGCAAAGGTTCCTGTTTGATGTACCTGCCAGAGCCCACCGGGTCCGCGGAATCGGTGCCGTTCATCGACAACAGCGTCTCGTCGAAGTTGCTCACCGCGTTGGTGTCCTGGTGGTGTTCGGTGAGCGCGGGCATGCACCACAGTGGTTCGCCGACGCCACCATCCGAGTTGTTCACCACCTCCACCGTGTAGATGGCACCGTCCGTGTTTAACGTCCGCCATTGGTCTACTATGTCAGACTTGTCGTTGAACGAGCTGGGCGTGCAGTCCAAGTCGAAGCCGTGGTCGCCGCTAATGATCGTCTCGAAACTGTTGTTGTTGTTGTTGTTGCTGTTGTTATTGTTGTTGTTGGCGAATGTGAACTCGTTGTTGTTCCTCTCTGTATGCGGACAAACACGATATTTCCAGATCAGTTGGATTTATTAGAACATTTTTACGCACAATACTATTTATATATTGTATAATTTATTATATTATTAAAGTAATATCAAACGTACATTATAATATAATATTACACTTTGATAGAACGCACTATGCCACTGTACAATAATAATAATAATAATAATAATAATAATGTCAAGTGATGCCTATAATTATTACGTACAACGAGTGTATCACGAAGATCTTTCGTGTTGTAAATGGCATGTTATTTAAATGTAAAATCAAAAGACGTCCGTATTAATATTAATTGAACGTAATGAAATAACAATGGCGATAATAATAATGCTCACCTGACAGAGACGGGTCGTTCAGCAGATGATCCACAGACGTGTTGATCCGATGCGATCCGTCGTGAAGGGTCTCCAGGTGGAGCCCAAGCTCCATTAGTCGGAGGCTGTCTCGGTTACCCGTGTCAGGGCCGTTGTCTCCCGAATACAGTGCAGTCTTTAGGTAATCGGTGGACGCAACGTCCATAATATTGTGAAATCGAATTTCGGTCCAAACAGTATTCCACCTGTTGGTCGTGCACCCAATCACATTTTCAACGCGGAAACACGCGTGTCCGATCCGACGTGCGAACGACTGTCGTTTGTAATCACAGAACGAGACGGCGACAATTCAATCTGGAAAACGCACATGCATAATAACATTATTATTATCATTGTAAAATAACAAATCAATAACGATCGGTTCGATCGGCCACCGCAGAGACATCCGGTGTCCGCGGTGTAGTAATGCGGAATAAGTGGTAGATTAAACGGCAGTAACGGACGTGGGTCTTACGAGGAAGACTATACCATATAATATATATGTATATACAACTGTATCTACGATACGAGTCGAACGTTTGATTTAACGAAATCGCTTTCCACGCAATCAAGGAGAAACATACATCATGTCTAATTCGGGTTTAAGGTTAGGTCTATTTTTCTTCTTGTAAACATCGCGATCTCTATACACCAGTATATATAATATTATGTGTAACCTACTGGGTTACAATATAGAGTCTGTAGTTGTTATATTTTAATATTACATTTAACGCCTGTATTACGTTGAATTTGTAGGTTAAATATGTCTTGACGTTATGCGTGTTCGAGACGTAAAACAAAAATAGAACGCGTATTAATGCAATGTAACGAGTACCGTCATAAACGAAAATGCGCGAACATATAATATATTCGTACATCGAGAATTAATGAACCATTATAGGTTCTACAAAATTTGAATGTATGGGTAAAAACTGATTTGGTGCTAGGAGATATATGCGAATCGTATAATACTTCAAGTCTCGTATAGTAGATCTGGAATACGATAATAATTTTCGAATAAACAGTTAGGTACATCTGTTGCACGTAAACCGGACGTAATGTATAAAAAAACATACTATAGGTAGGTAGTGTAATTTTTGGGAAAGTCGATGAGAAGTGACGAGGTGTAAGTAAGTCTATTATTATTATTATTATTATTATTATTAGTGATCGCGAACGGTTTGAATGAAATCGTCAATATTTTCTACAGTTGTTGCTTATTACATATTTGCAGTTTTGAACCCCGTTAATGAATGATTATTAATAGGTATACTCTTGATTAACCATATACACGCATTATACCAACGTTTTTTTTTAAAAGAATTACTCCAATTAAAAATAAATCATGTTTATTACATACATTATCATAAACCGGTAATTGTAAAAAAGTTTATGTATATATTCATACTATCGTACATATTATCATACACAATACATAATTATATACAGAGCAGTTGTAAAAAATAGCCTAACTACAGCGGCTGAGTATATAGGGTGGCCGACAGCCCGCATAATTTAGGAGAAATTAATACAGTATTATTAATGCATGTACCTATATGTAGAGGAGGTCAGGAGATATTTGTACGTCATAATGTTTCATCGATATATTAAAAAATTGATTATTTATATTTTTACATAAATAATATTACCAAGTACACAATATAATATACATATAGTATCTATCAGAATTATATAATTTTAAACGCACTTATATTATAAATTCTACTTACACAACGTTATGGGATAGTGCTATATATAATATTGGTATAATTTTAGTGGTGTCGAGTGGGCAGTGAGAAACCAAATGTAAATTTCAAGGAGTTAACTACGCATCCGGATGTCGTACGTACACCCGTCAGCAGTGTTCCATAAAATTATTTTACTTTTCTTATTTCTTAATAGTGGTCCATACAATATAATTGTATTTTATATACACAGTATATTAAATTTATGTGATGTCATGACGTCATACAACATAAGTTTGTTAAAGCGTTATTAGGTAGAAAACTAATTACTGGTCGGCGGCACTCGCGACCCATACGCAGCCATATAGTATAGGTTGTTCACGTACAACAATAATATGGTACGTAGGTATATGTATGGCCCGAAGCTCATCATCATAATCAAAGGTGAAACGCTTCGTCTGTAGAGCCGGGCCGGTCGCTCGGTAAAGGACCCGGCGGAAATTATAGAGGAATTTCCGGGTCTCCAATTTTTTTTTTTTTTAGACATGTCGTTAAATAAATTTATCTGACACGATATTATTTTAAGATTATTAGCGGTGAAATTTAATCGACCAACAATTTATTCAAAAGGTTCGTAAGAAAAAAAATATAATACCGTAAGTATTCGTAAAAAAAAAAAAACTATTTAAAATAAAATATAAATACTGATAAAAAACAGAGAGAAAAAAATAATAATGAACGACACGGCGCAGTGCATATTATATTCCGTCCGCACGTCTTTCAGTTGCACAACAGCATATTTTCTGCTACCGGTTCACACACTCACGCTTATGAACTCTTATTATAGGTGCAACACAGGTGCTATAGGATGTACAAAACCGATACTCGATACGTCGATCATAATTAATTATAATAGTATAGGACAGAGATACATTATAATATGTTATAAGTCATTACTCCGAAGTTTAATAGGTAACGTTTAGAAGGTCGCGTGTGCAGGTCTATACAGAATTGCTCGATATATCGTCTCCTAATATTGTAAAACTATAACTCGATACTTCCATAACAGAAAACAAAAACCGTTTGAACGCGTTTGGTACAATATTTATCATCGTCAGACAGTAATAATAATAGTAAAAATATAATACTACGCACAACTCTGTCCCACGGGGTAGTAATAGCTATAGGTATATAATAATAATAATAATAATAATAATAATAATAATAATAATAATAACATAACAGTCGCAGTAAACAGGTACGTTTTTTAAGAGTGCAGTCTACTGCAACTATTTTATGGCTAGCCCCTGTATTATAATTTATAATAATATGCGTACCACTCTGCAGTGCAGTGATCTACAGGTAACTGCAGCAGCAGATAAGTAATTTTTTTTTTATTTTATTTCGTTAGTTCTTATGTCGAAACACATTCAGTACATAACGAGTACACACACACACACACACACACACACAGGTGCACACACGCATACACGCACATGCACGCACACATGTATATACTATACGAGATACCTACTTGGAAACATTTATTATATACACGCACACCACCGATACACGAATCGCCCGGGGCCGTAGTAACCTACTTACGGGCGTCGGCTTTTTAACACACGCGCACACATCATGTATATATGGGTATACGAGCACGGGCGCGCACATATATATATATACATAATATGATATTATAATATTTTCTCGATTCGGACTTGCTATTATAATATTATAATTTATCGGCGGGTGTATAATATCATAATATAATATTATACCTAGTGTTGTTCGGGCGGGCCACGACGACGACGACGGTTAATCGGTTTTTGAACAATACATATATTATCATTATGAACTGCAATAGGTTTTCAGTTGTCGTCCCTAGCCGGTGGTGTCTGCGAACGGGTTCAAATCGTGAATTCGACGACGTGTGCCTTCAATCGCATCGCATAAACGACGACGACGACGAGTGACGACAGAGAAAATCGAGATTGACTTGGTGACCGAGCGCAGTGTAACATGCCTATTATACATAATATAATAATAATATTATGTCGGAAACACGGCATTTCAACGCTACATCGCGAGCGTACCTATATACATACATTTATATGCGTGTGCGAATTGTATTATATATCGTAGATATAAATATATATGATGGAAAGCATTGAGAAGCTGAGAAAGTTTCGGCGCACGAAGTCGGGACAATATGTGTGTCACGAACACGGCCTAGCCGCGCATGGGGGTAGGATATCTGCGAGGGTTCCATAATGAGTCGTATTGTATTACCTTCATATTATATTGAACACGGATTTATGTAACATTAAAATGATAATAAAAACCACATTATGTCACTCCTATTATTATCACACGCTCTAAATTGAATAGTTTCTGCGTTTTCATATTGTACACTCAAGTCAATAATCTCAAAGGCAGTCGACTGCTCTACCTATGTATGTGGTACTGCTGTATCGTTATAATGTATTGGCGGCGGTCGTGTGATAAATCGTTCGTACATGAATGAAATAATTTTCGTGAACTTTAATAACCGTTGCAATACTGTCATTATTTGAACGTAAAATTGTATAGATATACTCAAATTGAACTACACAACCTGAAATCGATTACAATTAAAGCCAAAAAAATTGACTTTTATGATTATATTTTATAATATATTGATAATATTTTGATATAATAAAAGCTTTCATGGTATATTTGCCATTTGGTGAGTTGTGATTGATTATAGTTAAAATATCGATTTACAGACTTTAGGTCTAATGAATAAAGTTCAATTATAATTTAGTTCAACATTTGTTTAGTTTTTAGTCCATGTTCATAAATAACAGTCATATAATCTATATTGACTACACTCTATATAATATTTTAAGTACATCTGTTACAAATGTCTATTACACGAACCGTACAGCAACAGGTAGATAGTTAACATTTCTAATACGAATGATTTGTGTTTTTAACTAAGCGATGTTTTTCACTGAGTTGGCAAAAAGGTTTTGTGGGTGTACCTATACTTATACATAATTAATATAGGTAGTTATGTTTTTTTATAAATGTTTTCATCTTCATGTTGATTGCTTTGTATTTTTAATTGCCAATAATAAACACCTCTCAGATGGATTATGATTTCTGACAATTTTCTATTATTTCTTAACCCTTCCTTGATGAGAAAGTTTTATTTGATTATGGTGGTCATAAGTGAAATAAAAAATATATAAACTAGATAATATACTATACAATATACATGGATATTAGACGTCAATTGAATGTACATACAACATTTTTTGTATCTAATCCTAATGAGATTATGAGAAAAATGATTTTGGACGATACTAATTTTGGACCTACACATCATTAAACCCAATTATTATCATATTTATAATATTGCGTTTTGTTAAAATTCTAATAAGTTCACATTTAACTTTTCATACAGTTTACTTTATATAATAACTTTTAATTATCGCAACAATATAATTTATTGTAACTTTAGGAAATTACTTATACATATATAAATAAATATAATATATATAATGATACATTATAATAAGCGGCCTAATACCCGCATTATTGGAATACACAACTGTAAAAAAAACAGTCGATAATTAATTGCAT